AGCACTATAAAACCAGCTAAAGTCTGGGCTAGTACAAGCAGCCGCACATACACATACACACGCAGGCACGTCGTCATATGAGCGAAATATTCTCAAGCACGACGTTAAACCCTGTTTCACCTCACCTCACCTCACTACTACTACTACTACTACTACTACTATTACTACTGCTACTACTACTACTACGACTGCTGCTGCTTCTACTACATGTACTACAACTACTACTAGACTCGGTGAAACGCAACTCACTACTACTACTACTGCTACTACTACTACTGCTACTGCTACTACGTGGGCGGCGTGCTTGCCTTGTGGTTACGGTGACCAGGGTGGGTGCAATGTGTGAAGCCTATTTCTGGTGTCCCCCGTCGTCGTATTGCTGGAATATTGTTGAAAGGGTTCATGGCCAGGAAGGCTAACATCGTGGTACTTGCAACGCAATGTTATGGCTGAATGAACACGGCGCGCCTCACTCGGAGGCTCTGACAAATTACAAAGAAAACAGGATTATCAAACATTTACAATTGGAAATTCCCAAACATGACCAAAACCAAGTTCATACAATAACATTTTAACACTGCGTAACCATAAACATCGTAGTAGAGGTAACATAAGTGTCGAATAGTTCACACAAGGTTTTCAATGAAAAGTTGTAACAACTGACATTTTTAAAGGGCCACTGATCCAGCCAACAATAACAAAATCAACAACCAGTCCACGGAAATTGCTCTGGATCAGTGGCCCTTTAAATTAAGTAACATAGCTTTAAGACCTTTGTCTATAAGGTTGTGTAAAAGAGCCTGTGTAAGAAAGCACTTTATTTCTTCCGGTCGAATCTTCCCGCCTTTACGAAAAACCATAATTTTACTTTGCCTACATTAACGTTAAGGCTCCAGTCTGCAATAATTGGAAAGCGTATTAAGTGATAGCTGTAAACCTCCAGGTGATTCGGATATAAGCACCATATCGTCCGCAAATAGTAGTATAAAAGCAGCAATCCCGCGTCGATACTTTCCTGTAGTGCTACTTCAAGATATAGGGAGAAAGGAATCGGTGGCATAACTACACATAACTTCCCCTTGTTTAATACCCAGGAGCATAGAAAGTAGCCAGATTTTTACGCCGCAATTGTTTCCAGCAACATCACGATTTCACACATTGTACCCATGTGGGGATTCGAACAGGCTTCGGCGTGACGATAATGCTTTCCACTATAGCTACCCCACCGCCTCTAATTCCCATGAAGATAGAAAGAAGCCAGATTTGACAACGTACGTGAACATCAGATCTCAGAGTGATATTCGGACACGATAATTTTCCATAGTCCTCTGATGCCGTCCAAATTTCAAGTCTCGCTTTTAATACCGATGTAAAGATTTTTGAAAAGCTGCTGTTTATGGTGATTCCCCTGTAATTACTTTCATCTTAAAGTTCTAAACAAGCGAAGAATATAAACACTCTACTATAACAATGTTTTGAAAAGAAATCTTTCTACTCCCGACATGGATTATGCTTCCCGGCACCGTATCTTTAGCTTTGGCGGTACTCCCCTACTTCCTTCGAAGTTAGCTCTCCCGGGAAATCCGAAATATACATTTTAGCCTTCCTGGGACATCTGAAAATTAACTTTTAGCCTTCCCGGCACGACACCGTTGAACGCGGCGTAAAACCATACTTACTCCCTTACTACTACCACTACGACCACTACTACTACTGCTACTACTGCTACTGCTACCACCACTACTACTACTACTACTATCGCTACTGCTTTTGTCATTACTACTACTGACACTTATTCTTTATCTGTAAGCGTCTGAATCATGAAGCATTTTGGGGAATTCATCGCACATTAAGCACCGTCATTTAGCGAGAACACTGTTTAACCAACTCAAACTTTCACGTCTTCTGCTACTTACACGTAAACTACAACGTCAACTTCTCTATCTGCTACTACTCTATCATCATCATCATCACTACTACTACTACTACTACTACTACTAGAACCATTATTTCTACTACTGCTTGATGTTACTACGCTTCCAGCACTAGTAACTGTTTCTTACGGAAGCGTAGTAGGGCCACGGTGAAATTTTTTTTGGGTCTTACTATATCTCCCTACGTAGGACTTGAGTATCTCCTACACGTGGGACTTAAGTATCTCCCTACGTGGGACTTACTGTATCTCCTACGTGGGACTTGAGTATCTCCTACGTGGGACTTAGTATCTCCTACGTACTTAGTATCTCCCTACGTAGGACTTACTATCTCCTACGTAGGACTTAAAATGTATCTACGTAGGACTTACTGCTCTCCTACGTAGGACTTTGTATCTCCACGTTGGGACTTAGTGGGAGATATTAAATCCTACGTAGGAGATGTGGAAGTCCGTAGGAGAGAATAATCTACGTGGGAGAATCCTACTAGGGCCTCTAGAGATCCTACGTACTATCCCCATGAGAGGAGATCCTACGTAGGAGACGATAAGGACATCACGTAGGAAGATAATAAGTCCTACGTGGGAGATTAAATCTAGAGATCGTACGAGGGGATGACTAAGTCCTACGTAGGAGATACTAAGTCCTACGTGGGAGATATTAGGAAGTCCTACGTAGGGAGATGAAATAAGACCAAAAATTTTCACCGTGGCCCTCCTACACTAGTAACTGGTTTCTGGATACGCTGTACTTACTTCTTTTTTACCAATTATACGTATTTCACACATTTCAAAAACGGTTGCAGTGTGAGACTTTGGCTTGTGCCACTCGAATCGGGAAATATGTACGTACATCTAGTACAGAATCCATCGACCATTTTACTCAAATCTTTCCGAAACTATCCATATGTATTGCAATGATGATAACGGATATGTTTTGTCGATCTTGGATCTCTTGATTTCATTGCTACCATAGGTGTATACGTGAGAAACATAAAATTACGAAAATGGAAAACTCTCACAAACCCAGGGGTGGTAGCCAAGTGGTTAAAGTGTTCACGACGAAGACCCGAGTTTGATTCCCCACACGGCTACAATGTGTGAAGCCCATTTCTGATGTCCCCCGCCGTGATATTGCTGGAATATTGCTAAAAGCGACGTAAAAACTCACTCACTCACTCGAATCGAGACTCAAAGACTCCCGTCGCGGCTGAAGTATAAAGCGAAACATGAGTCCCATTAACCTATTCAGACAATGACCTACTTTTCAGCCGGTCCGAATTTTCTCGAGTGAAAGTGAAAATAGACATCACAAACAGCTATGGTTACACTGAATTCCAATTCCTTGTTTCATAAGAAAATGGTATGTACAAATAAATTGTAATTTTAAACTTTAATAACATTGTATTTCTATAGTTTTTCGCGAGGTGTAGGCAGCATGACCTTAACTAAGACGTCACAGACTGCCCCTGTTTGATGAGGTCGTAAAATGATTCACAATGCATCTGGCACATCTGGTTACACTTGTTATGTGTTTTGTGCACTTATTCCGTGTAGTTCTGTAACGCACAATGTGATTGATATAATATCAAGTCCGTACCACACCGCCAAACGTTTCTAACGGCAGAGCCTCGTTTTGAGATTTCCACGATTTCCAGGTTTCCGTTTGTCAGGGCTCGCTGTACGACAGAGCACGCTGCACGACATGTTTGCAATTAGAAGGAGCGTAGTGATGCAATATACATGTACTTAGATGTATCAAATAATACTGATTAATAATTATGTATCCAATTAAATTAATTGGTCTCAAAATTCTGTACTGGTTATTGTACTAAGTTGCGCATTAGGACGGAACCCAGTCAACAGGAAACGAGACTGTTTTGTAATCAATGTTTTGACTTGTTTTCAAGTGTACTAACAAGAAACGAGACTTATGTAATCAATGTTTTGACTTGATAAAGAAAAGGAAGAAAGGCAGAAAGTAATCGGATACACAAACCGAGTGTCTCAATGATGACACTGAAGCTAGTACCTGATCTTCTCATCACTGCAAACAACTTCTTCCGTCATCCGTTTCGTTATATCCACTGTTGACAATGGACGTGTGTATAGCTACCAATGCTTGTTGGTTGATGGTCTTGATGCCCTCATTCTAGATTTTAATTCTTTTCAGTATGGGTGTCATGTTTCAAGTAGTGTGTTCTGACGTTTACAGGGGCCAATTCCATATCCGATTAATCGACCGTTTTGGACTTTACGTCATCTGTATTGTACGTGATATTGTGTCAAGAACGCACTGAATTTGTTTTCAAGAGCAAAGTGAGTGAGTGAGTGAGTATGGTTTACGCCGCTTTTAGCAATATTCCAGCAATATCACGGCGGGGCTTTACACATTGTACCCCTGTGGGGAATCGAACTTCAGCGTGACGAGCGAACGCTTTAACCATTAGGCTATCCAACAGCCCCTTCAAGAGCAAAGTGTGCGCATCGGTTTTTACATTCGTGTGTACTTCAGTTAAGTTTTAAGGGGCGCTGGGATAGCCTAGTGGTTGGAGCGTTCGCTCGTTACGCCGAAGACCTGGGTTCGTTTCCCTACAAGGGTACAGTGTGTGAAGCGGATTCCTGGTGTCCCCCGCCGTGATATTGCTTGAATATTGTTAAAAGCGACGTAAAACTAAACTCACTCACTCAAGTTTTCAAGACTGAAGTCAACTTTAATGAATAAATAAGCCAACATTAATAATTTCTCCGCTAATTAAAAGTACGGGGGGAAAAAGGAAGAGCGTCAGCAACGTTTTTCAGAGCAATGATAGAGCCATACCCAGCTATTACCGCCCAATCAGGAAACAGCAGGCCGGTTTTGGGCGTAGGAAAAATGGCATGGTTAGCCGATCAATGACACGGGATCACTTCTAATTTTATTATTGAATATGATTTAATGGACACAAAGATCAGGTTTATGATGAAAGAAATCTACAACATAATCTCAATCAATTCGATTTTGCGATGATTGTCATTTCATTTTTGATGTTTTATAATCGATTTTTCACTTATTGCTACATTTCAGATGACAATGGCTTGTGTTTCCGCGCCGAGTCTCTCGGTCACCGCGAGGGCAACCTGTACTACTGCAATGACCCAGCCCTACCGTTGTGTTGTGAGAAGGATAACACACATACCTGCTGCCAGGCAGAGACTACAAGAAATGTGTATGTACTGACAACACGGTGTGGAGTTGTAATGATTGTTTGATGCCGCACCCTGCGATATTCCAGGTATTAGGCGGAGATCTGTAAGCCGAGATGAAATTGTGTTTGACGTCGTCTTTAAGGATATTGTACGTAGATTGCGATGGTCACGGGTGTGTGTGCGTGCGTGTGCGTGTACATGTGTATGCTCGTGCGTGCGTGCGTGCGTGTGTGTGCGTGTACTTCTAATCTGGACAAAGTCCGTGATATGTCCTGCTTTACGTTGGCTAAGTGACATACCATACCGCGGGGCGGTGGGGTAGCCCAGTGGTAAAAGCGTTGGCTCGTCACGCCTAGAACCCGGGTTCGATTCCCCACATGGGTGCAATGTGTGAAGCCCATTTCTGGTGTCCCCCGCTGTGATATTGCTGGAATATTGCAAAAACACTAAACTCACATGGGCACACACACACACACACACACACACACACCGCCAAGGGACAAGCAAAAACCATTATTTAACAGTTAGCAGTCACTTAACGAAGCACCGACCTCCCGTTGTCCAGCCAGGCTCTTTGTCCTTAAGACAAAGCATACGGTCGATGGGGCCCATACACAAACGAGTTTGGGTAATCCTGTAATTGACATCATGAGCGTGAGTGAGTTTAGTTTTACGCCGCACTCAGCAAGATTCCAGCTGTATGACGACGGTCTGTAAATAATCGAGTCTGGACCAGACAATCCAGTGATCAACAGCATGAACATCGATCAATTTTGGATACGATGACATGTGTCAACCAAGTCAGCGAGACCTGACCACCCGATCCCGTTAGTCGCCTTTTACGACAAGTTACTGAATATCAATTCCAACCCAGATCTTCACGGGTCTACATCATGAGCATCTATCTGAGCAACAACAGCATCATGGAAGGCCATGAGGATGACCACGCGATCCCTTCAGTCGTTTCACACGACAAGCATGGGTTGCTGGAGATACATCTTGTTCGTCAATGAACGCTGCCAATATCGCAGCTTGATCCTGATATCCTTAGCACAAGAGACCAATGCACCAGGAGTTACATTTGTTTGTACATCGAAATCAAACGTAAACTGGCAGTTACGAATGGAGTGAGTGAGTGAGTGAGTTAATATTTCAGCCATATCGTGACGAGAACAAGTTAATTTATATCAATATTAAAATCAATAAATTTAGAACATAAAAACCTGTCATCGAAGGACAGTAAAAATACCAGGGCATCACAGATATAAATTTAACACTAGTACGCTATCATAAAATGACATCGGTATAGACAGTTCAAAATATAAATAGATCACCAACAACTGAAGGTAGATCACCATACCAGGGTCCATGGGGACCTACAGTACTTTTGCTACCTGCATGGATTTACACCATGCCTTCAGCCATTGGCGGTTATGCTGAGATTTAGCCATACAGTAAAATGACAAAAATACTTCGTTTAAAACACTGGTAGACTTAAATTTACTTGAAATATTTTGAGACTTACGTAAGTTCCGAATGGAGAAAACTAAAGTGTCATGATATGTGCAGACTCTGTCATTTCAGTCACTCGGTCAAACAAACACGGATTATCTGTAGTAGTCACATTCACATGCTGATTCAGGGCGGGTCATTTATTGTCGAGATTCAGGGATAGGGGGAGGCCGCGGTTTGAAAGAAAACGGTGTCGTCATTATATAGAGGGTATGTGGTGCGTGGTCTTGTGCATGGGGCCCTGGTTACAAATCAGTTGACGTTACGCAGGGTTGGTCACGGAGAGTACTTTGATGGGACGTTACTGCGTTTGGCAGCTTGAGTTCTTAGAGTTTCTAGGACTTCTGTCCTGCCCCACAACGAAGCACACATGTGGTCTCACCTTTGGCAAGGGAGTTTGTTCACAATTGCCTTTGTTCACCCGGCATAATGGACCACTTTGAAAGCTGAAGGAGCTGAACATTCATCCAGGTGTGTGGCGCTTTTTCTGAGTAAGACCTGCAGTGCCAAATGGCAGTTCACATTCTCTCCTTCAAAAAAGCAACGTCTTGGTCTTCAAGAAACACCAAATACAGTATCAAACTTTACGGAAAGAAGTTACCAAAGTGGACAACACAAATCATCTCGGCATTCTTCTCGAAACACACATACATCAACAGGTACTCTCGAACATCAAACGCAAGTCTTAACATATCTCGCATTCCCTTGTACGCTCCGTTGGAACAATAAAAGTGTACATGTATATAGTTGACTACCTACCTTCTAGTGCCTCACGGGCAGCTTGGGTTATCCAGGGTAATACAGTCAATCCCTTAGGGCATGTCCCTGCGTCGTGGAGTTCAGCGCTAGATAAGGCCTCTTTATGTTGCAGAGTGCGGTCTTTAGCAAAAACACAAACGAACAGTCGAACAAAAGACTTGTTTTCTTAAATATAGTGTGAAATATGGTTGTTGCTTAATGTTCCCTGCTGTTGTTTCAGGAATGACCAACTGATCTTGTGGGGGTTCATGGCTCTGACGATCATGTGTTTCGGGGCGGTCTATTACTACTTCTCCAGGGAGGGCGACTACTGGGAGTCCCCCACGATGCGTCTGGCGGCCGACCACATGGCCAGAAGATTCGGAATCAGGAGCTTAGGGCAAGTATTGAGTAATGTGGGGATTTTTGTCACAAACTATGTTTACTTCAGCCACTTCTTTGAAGCTAGTCTGCCGTACAGACCCTGAAGCAAATATATCCAAGAAAGCCCATGCAAGTCTAGATTATGTGGCAAGTCTAGATTACCACAGCTTCAGGTCTGAAAATGAAGGTCTCAGGGCTCCTTTTCATTATATTTTATTGTTTTACCATGGACTTTTTTTTCTCTAAAATATGTTCACATCAGAGACAAGTTGTTAGTCTACTCTGACTGTGGACTGCTTACCCGATGGATTTACCGAGGACAACTACCATGTCTTGAGACAATATTTTTGGGGGGCAATTTTGCCCCAGTATTTCAGGGAACAAAATGTTGTCTTAAAAAGTATTAGGTTAGTTCCGCATGAAATGCCTCGACGAACATGTCTAATCTAAATCAGTCTAAATATTCCATGTATCAATACCTTAAAATGGAGTATCAAGGGGACGCAACTCTGCACAGCGAAAAGCCGAACCAACGTGACCTACCCGTCCCCTACTTTTTCATTCGTATGCAATCAACTGAGAGTTATTTTTTATTACGCGGAAACGTAACGTATCTAACGTATTTTGACTGTTTTCAAGAATGTCGATAAATCATTGTAGACCATTACTTTTGACAATCATCCTGCTTTGTAAGTGTTTGTTTCTAGCCGTTTTTCATTTTCAAAAATGAGAATCGTACACACTTCACGCCATACACCAATCACCTTTCAAGAGCGATCACTGCACAAACAACTATGGTCATAAGTAAGTGTAAGTGGTGATGTACTCTCAAAACATTCATGATCAACATTGATTGACTCAAAATCTCTGAGACTCCTAATTTTTCAATCGTAACCAAAAATAAAGTTCTCTTACTTTTTGTGAAGTGTATATTAAACAAATTAAGATTTGTGTGACAGAAGAATGAATGAATTTTCACAGGAAGAAAAAATCGGACGACTGCGTTTCCCCGATACAGCGTGATTTTGACATCATGGAGGAATCAGATCCCATGAGGACGCCATCACCGGAAGCGTCGTCGGCATTCAAACCAGAAGTCACAACTTTGACGTGAAGAAATTACGTCTGAAAAATATATCTGTGATAAAAAAAGACGTTTGAGAAAAGAGAATATATATATTTTTAAAAATACTTATTGTTTCGAGACTTGTACGAATACATTTTCGATACGATTGTTTAACTTAGATATTACCCCTCCGTTTCGTCGAAATATGACAGTTCATTAATAACTTAACACAAGCCCAAATTTGACACGGGGTCAGAGCCATGTCAAAGGCAACAGCCAATCAGGCTAGCTCACGTACTCTAAAATATAAACACACATCCTGGCTAACAATGATGTTAGCAATAGGATAATTTTGTATGGTTTTTCTTTTCTTTTTCTAAAAATGCAGTAATTAATGACTCCTACGATGTTTTCAATCATTATCCGTCACGAGCAAGTACAAAATGTTCACCTTTGATATTCAACAGAATATATGAATATCAATGCTTTTATCAGATTTCTTTGCACATGAGGTAAACATAATGTCGCAAGTGTTCTTAGAGTGACCTGCCCGTGGTGAGCACAAAAATGTGGAGTGGAAACTAGACAGGGAAGTCACATATTTGACTGATTCTGGTGTAACCATATGAACGCACGTAAACTACAAGAAATTAAAGTCTGTTTGCACTTAAAAGTAAATTCAATAAATTGAAATTAAGACTCTTTCATGAAGTTACGAAATTGAACATTTAAATCTCAGTTTTATTCCTTAGGATAAAAGTTTTAACAAACGATCATAGAGTCAAATAGATATTAATGGTTTGTATTACAATGGGGTAAGCGCAGTAGTCGGAAGAGTGAAACAAATGCACGTGCGGTACGTGAAGAGCGTTAACTTAGAACAACGTTAACCCTTGTCGTTCTTGGTGTTTCATTTGATATGCATACCGCCTTGTAATACAATCCAATAATATCGATGTGAAACAATGATCGTTTGTTCTATCCTAAGTTTATTAAAATTCTGAGATTTAAATGTTCAATTTGCAAGGTAAAATTATGAGGATACGCAATCTTAATTTCACTTTATTTGTTTTACTTTTTGCTTAAAGTGAAATTCATCGGTACGTTCTCACTGCAAAAAGACTATAATGTTTTCGATTAAAAGATTCAAAATCAGGTCTTTTCAAGTGAGAAGCTTATATGCAACTTGTTACCCCGGTGATTGTTTTGGATCAAAGGTACCGTTCAAAAAGTGTCCAAATGTGCGCCAGTTTTAGTCCGGCCCTTTTGCGACCGAAACAATCTGTTGGAAACAATAATTTAAAAAAAATATATACTATTAGATATAAACTTGTATGATCCGTCCATTCTTCATTCCAGTCGAGGTGTCACAGGGGTCCGTGCGTTTGTTCCTAGCAAGTTTCCTTCCCAAGCGTTTGTGCCTTATATTTTCTTTTGTAGCGACATTGCTTCTGTGATATTTGAGTTTGTGTCAATGCCACCCTTGTTTGCTGCTGGTAGAGATCACTCCACGGGGAGGAACATTTCCTGTACATTAGTTAGTTGCCTTGAAGCGTTTTGTCATTCGTATTTCTGCATCGGACGCTATGGACACGTTGAATAGTAGCCAGAGTCTTTTAAAACTAAGTGAGCGAGTGAGTTTCACGCCGCTTTTTAGTAATATTCCAGCAATATCACGGCGGGGGGACACTAGAAATAGGCTTCACACATTGTACCGATGTGGGAAATCGAACTCGCGTCTTCAATGTGACGAGCAAACGCCTTAACCACTAGGCTACCCCACCGCCCCACTCAAATAAGTCAAAGAAGCTTTCGAGCTTGGTTTCACGGTGCTGACAGACGGCCTATCGTCATTAGGCGGTTATTTCAAACCTAGAGTTCTCGTAAACAAGCTTATCTGGCGCTCTATTTGCTAAACACAGCTTTTTCAGTGGCAGATGCATGTAACTATATTTTCATAATCACCTGTTAATGCTGACACGCCACTGGAGGGGTGTGTGGATTGGGGGTGGGGTCGGGGGTCGGGAAACCTCGTTGTTAAAACGTTCGCTTGTCGACATAGATCCGGGTTCGATTCCCACATAAGTAAAATGCGTCATGCCCACTTGTGCTGTCCCCCTCCATGATACAACTGGAATATTGTTCAAATCGGTGTAAAACCACACCTACCGGCTACGGCAGAAATATTTTATGCCAAACTGTGATATATTAAGGGGTGACAGCAGAAATCGGATGATTGTACGTGCACTTCAAAATAATGACATCAATCTTTCATTCCTGCGTCATCTTCAGGCGGCAAGGGAGTTGGCAAGCTTCTTAACTCCAGTTGCTGTCCTTTGCGTCTGTGTTATATTTTGGATGGGCTGACGACAACGACATTCCGTTTCGAAAACAAAACGGCGACCTCGGTGCAGATTGCAGATTTGCAAAACTAGCGTACCGTCAACTGGGCGTCGATATATATTTCTCAGTTCTTTTCATTTTCTTAACCAAAGTGCTAAAATATTGTGCTGTAATCCACATGCACCAGCTATTGGTAGAGGTTGTGCAATAACACGTCTTTAACTTAATCAGATCGTCTTGACAAGGCGGCGACGTGTTGAACGATGCAAACTGGCATTTGTGACCCACTCGTGTTATTCCGTGACAAGCCGAATGGTCTTCATTGAGGTACGGAGAGGGACGACTGATGACTGATGACTTATGACTTAATTAGGGTAGTGACGTCGCGCTTTGAGTGATGAGGTTAGTTTTACGCCGCTTTTAGCACTATTTCATCAATATCACGGCGGGGCACACCAGAAATGGGCTTCACACATTGTATCCATGCGGTTAATCGAACCCGGGTCTTCGGCTCGACGACTGATCGCCTTAATAACTAGGCTACCCCACCGTCCAGTCGCGCTTTGAGCAGGCTTGGTGGGTATAAAGTTGGCGCGGTATAGTGCACACAATTTGTCATATTGAGGCTATTATAATTTTTATAATTTATGTTATCAATGAACTCATAAATATTGCCGTCCGTTAGAAGGTTTAATCAGCTGTAAGCCTGGATAGTTTTACCTCTAGATTCCTTATACGAAATTAAACCGTTTGCGTCAGTACAACATCTTTAATAATGTAAGCGAGCATAACCACAAATAGCTTTGATCAGAACTTTAACACTGGGACATACACTCCCAAAAATTAACGGGGTTGAATGTGTAAAATATGGTTGTTGCATAGACAAACCCAGGACAGTTAAAAAATAGTAGCTATTATTACCTCAGAACGTTGACATTGGGTTGGTTGGTTTGTTGCTTAACGCCGCACTCTGCAATATTCCAGCTATATGTCGGCGTTCTGAAAATAGTCATGTTTAGACCAGACAATCCACTGATCAACAGCATGAGCATCGATCGATTTTGGATACAATGACATATGTCAACCAAGTCAGCGAGCCTGACCACCCGAGCCCGTTAGTCGTCTCTTACGACAAGCATGGGTTACTGAAGACCAATTCTAACCCGGATTTTCAAGGGTGTTACTCTAGGACATACACCTCCAAATTAGATGTGTTGGACCTGTATAATATGCTGCTACACAAACTCACCCTAGATAATAAACTGACATAACAAGGATATAACTTTGTGCATGTAGGCTTGTCTTAAAGGTGCAGCCACAAGCTTGACTACTCATGGTTTCAGCAGCATCTGTTCCGATGTGTTGTATCACTGTGGTTAAGCGTGTCAATGTTTGCTATATGTTTTGTACCCGTGTTTGCTAAATGTCAATAAACGTGCAAATGCTTGCGTTTAGTGTTTATTTTCTCTTTCACTCAGCTGATTATAGATCAGCCAACCCTGTTGAGACGATGAGTGCGTGAGTTTAGTTTAACGCCGCTTTTAGCAATATTCCAGCAATATCACGGCGTGGGACACCAGAAATGGGCTTCACACATTGTACCTATGTGGGGAATCGAACCCGAGTCTTTGGCGTGAAGAGCGAATGCTTTAACTACACTATAGGCTACTAGACGGTTACACAAGGTCCTCGTTGACAAACGTCTGTTGGGCACCCAGAGTTGTTTCAAAAGAGTGCAAGTGGCGAAGGTTTAATTGACGCCTCGTGTAACCCGCCAGATTGAGATCTTCCGCTGGAGCGGCCTTCCTTGGTTGCCCTGGCCTTGGTCGATCCTTGACAGTGCCCGTGAGTTGTGTTTATTTTTCGGATAAGCCTACAGATGACAGAGTGATAGTAACCATAAAATTACATGCATACGTCTTTCCTCGCCATATAATAATAATAATAGTATTGAAAATGAGTTTCACTTCATATTTGAATGTGATGCCTATGTTACTTCAAGAAAGAAGTATATACCAAATTGGAATTTTTTACCAAATATTTGTAAATTCCATAAATTATTGACCTCACATGATGTGAGTATTCTGATTAAATGTGCAAAGTTTATTAAGAAAGCTCTGAAATGTAAATCTGCACTAGTTGAATAGTAATACACGTATACCTGTCATACATGTATATATGAATTGAATATACTTTTGAACATGGGCCGATGGTTTACAAACGGAAATAATCTATCTTCTTCCTCGCCATATTAACGTGTAGGGATGAAACGGATGGCACATTCACACGTTTGATACTATACTAGCTACATAAAGAAACTGTGCATTGTCAAAATATTATCCCAGTTGATAAGTACGATAACAATGTCAAAGGTACATATAAACTTTAATGGAGGGATCATGAGACCATAACAAGTCGGGAGAATTTCAATTGAAACGTCAATCAAAATGACGTCATGAGCCCACAAGCGGGACAGGGGTCAAACGACCATGTCACAAGCTCAATAATGGGTATGTCCACAATCGGCATTGAGAACAGCAGTGCATCGACGACGCATAGAGTCTATCAAACGTGCAAGGAAGGCTTGTTGGATGTCACGAAGTTATCTGTCGGATGAGGAAGATGGCGTAGACGTCGACCCATCTCGTCCCAAACATGCTCTTTCGGGGAGAGATCCGGTGAATTTGCAGGCCAAGGCAGTAAGTCAACGTTGTGGTGTTGCAAGAAAATCCATAGCAACCCTTGCTGTATGAGGGCGGGCATTGTCCCATTTGAATGTTAACACAGGGCCATGACGTTGCAGAAAAGGAATTGCCACAGGTCGAAGAATCTGATCCCTGTAGCCCAGACCAGTTAAGTTGCCCTGAACAATCACCAAAGGAGTTATTTGGCGTGCTGTTATTCAACCCCAAATCATCACGGAACCACCACCAAAGCGATTCCTATCCAAGACACAGGCCTGTGCATAACATTGACGTCCATCACTATCGGAAATGTTAAACCTGGACTCATCTGTAAAACAACATTTCCCCACCAAAACAAGGGTCTGCGGACATGATTTCGGCACCACATTCGGCGAGCTTGTCGATGACGTTGTGTCAGGATAGAAGCCGTATGGCGGGACGTCGTGGTCTGATCCCGTGATGACGTAAACGTTGTCGAACTGTGTTGGGGTGGATACGGCGAAGTCCTGGGATGGTTCGGGCAGTCATCACTGCAGTCTGCAACCTGTGGCGAAGATGGGTCACCCTTATCCATCTGTCCTGTCTTGGCGTTGTTACACGTGGACGTCAGAACGTGGCCGATCGATGACG